AGAGGCTGGATCTTCCGTTAAGAGTTTTGTTTCTATCTCAAGTACTCATCTAACCATCACTATTGCAAATTACTATGAACAGTAATGATCAGATGCAGGAGGAAAGAAGAAATGAATATGCCATAGGAGCCAAACACTTTTTTTAAATGCTTTAAGTTCTCTGTCATTTTCATTCACGGAGTAATCCTTTAAAGTAAGCATTTCATAGTTCAGTGATAGAGCCAAGAAAAAAAAAAAGTGCTCAGAAATGAAGTAACTTGCCAAGGTCACTAGGGGAGTTCAGTTGGGGAGCTGTCAATTAAGCCCAATGGGTTTTTTGCATGTACAAATTGGTCACAATGAACTCCACTATTATGTATAATTATAATACACCAGTAAAAAATACATAAGTGAAACCTATTTTCTAATTAAATGCTACTTAGAACACCACTATATAACATAATTCCTCTGCATGAAGTTGAGGCAGAAGCTCAGCAACTTTACCCTGTCTCAGAACAAGCTGCTTGCAATAGAAGTCAGTTTTTCAAAAAATGAAGCCAAGAATCAGCATCGAAGAATAGGTTTTCAATTCTATTTCTTCAATTATCTGACAACATACAGGGAATACTTTGCTGAGGGTCAGAGTAAGTAAGTATCAAAGTAAAGAGCTCTTTCCTATTTCTTTCCTTAGTGAAATGGTTAGAAGTGAGTCAGTGTAAGGGAGAAAGCAGAGAAGCAAAGGGCTGGAAGTCTTTGAAATCTAACTAGTCAGACTGGCGCTATTTGTCCTGGATTCCTATGGACCCAGTGGTGGGAAGGACATCTTCCTAACGGCAGCTCATTTTACCTTAATAGTTGGTGTTCCCAGACAAGTTTTTAGTTTTCCATCATGATAAATTAATATATCCTATTTTATTGTGGTGCCACAAACAAGCCCTCTGAAAGACTCAAAAGGCCCAAATCCCCTGAAAAGCATCAGGTATCAAACTGCAGCCAGAAAAGATGGTATTAAATGAAAAAAAGAGGCTCCTTTTTAATGAAGTAGAGGTGTAGGACAGATTTATTAGCTTCCATTTTTCCAAGTTGCATTGTGTGTATTTCCTGCCCACATTTCCAAGTTCAGCAGGTCTCTTTGTAGAATTACTTTTTAAAATAGTGTTTTAAAGAACATGATGCAGCTACACCTGCAGAGACACACCTGTGATGATAGAAACAGTTTCTTGTATTCATAGCATAATGCTCTAACAGAAAACAGACTTTCTGTGTGATCTGCCAAGATCTTGCCATTCTTGAAAATAACTGATACTGGTAACTATGTATTAGAAATGGCCTTAAAAATAATAACCAGTCAAGGATTAGTCCAAGCCAAATGGTCATTAAAAAATCAATGGAGCTCCTTATCTATGTCATAATTCCTTTTTCTAACATCAGGAGATGGCAAGACAACTGAAATTATAGTCCCTACTTGTGATGCTATAACACAGATGCCTACAATATTCCTATTTGGGCTCAGCTACTTTCACACACACTCATCATCTTTTTTCTTACTCCCTATTAGATACTATCCTATGATTCTTCAAGGGGGAAAAGCTAATAACAAAATAAATCTTCCTTTGGAGAATTCATATTCTAAATGTCTAATTGGATTTATGAATGAATAATTAGTGCACTTTAAGCAAAGGTACAAAGACTAAAGGAAACAAAGTGGGAAGAGAATTGTTTCTGCCTACAGGGACTGGAGAAAGCATACTTGAGATGCACCTAAGGGTTAAGTAGTAGTCCCAAGGAAAAAGAGAAGGTATTCCAGCATGAAAGAATATAATGAAAGGCCCAGAGGCAAGAGACTATTCTATATTCAGGAATGAGTTATCCAATGGAATGACTACGATATTCTGTTCAAAACAATAGTCACTAGAAATGTACCTGTGTAAATAAACACTAAGATCAAAAATTCAGTTCTCAGTTACACTTCAAGTACTCAGTACCCCACATCTTTTGTCTATCCTCTTGAATTGTACAGAACCTTTCCATTATTATGGCAGTAAGTTCCATTATATATGGCAAGTCTGTCCCTAGTTCATGGAGACTCTCAAATGTATACTAAAGAATTAAATAAGATTATATAAACTGCTATATTTAACAAAGGCCCTTTTGGAATAGCCTTGGGGGACAATATCCTGCAACTTTACTATAGCTTGTTTGATCCTCCCAATTTCTTGAGTAAAATTCTTTTGAAGAAAGAATTCTATACTTAAAACCAACCAAACAAAAAGACCCCCAAAACGAAAAGAAAATCATCATAGGTCTTGAAGCAGGGATATGAAGCCATGACAGATTTGAGTTTTACAAATATCACTTCTGAGAGCAGGGTGCAAGGTATGCTAAAAGGAGAGTGGATTTAACAAGACCAGATAGGCTAACAAGGACAGGACAAAGAACTGCATTCAGTGTCACTTATAAAGAAATACAAGTGAAAAATCTGCATCAGTAAGTTTATTTATGTGTACACACCGGGCATATTATTGCCACACAAAAGCCAGAGTAGTGAACACTTTTAACTCTTTAGCCATGAAGCACAAAGATATTTGAAATACATCTTAAGTTAGCTATTTTAAGTAACCAATTCTTAAGCAGTTGTAAAATCTGCTTGTCCAATTATAATTTTTAAAATATAATTGCATTCATTATACTCATACATTTAAAACGTGTTTGCTCACAATTTGATACCCGAAAATAACCTTTTCAGTACCTTGAAAATATTCCCATGTATTTTCTTAGCAGTACTATTGTAAACCAAAATTGTTTTTCTCAAGTAGCAAGAGCTCAAGCCACACCATTCCTGATAACAGATAATAACTGATATATTTCATAAACAGCTCTTTCACTCCTTGTTCCTATTTTAATATGCCAACCATCACTTCACTGATATCCCAGAGTTTTCTTGCTACAGAGTCATCCATTGCTTTGGGCAACAGTTCTTCCTCCTTACAATCCCCAAAGTACCTTCCCGACACACCTTCCACCTCTGGTGAAGAGGCTAAGTAGATGGAAGTCTGGGCACCTTCTAGCGGCGTTTTGAAGAAAGCCCATGACACCAAATTGAAAAGTGGTTTCACCAGCAGCGGAATGTGAATGTGCCTCCCCAGATTAGTCCGCACGACGCCGGGATGCAATACGTTGACAGTAACATTTGTGCCTTCTAAGCGCCGAGCTAATTCTCTGGTAAAAAGAATGTTAGCCAGTTTGCTCCGGCTATAACAGAAGCTTTTATTGTAGCTCTGCTCACTGTTCAAGTCTTCAAAGTTGATTTCTCCATATTTGTAAAGTTTAGAAGAAACAACCACAATCCTGCTGGGAGCTGAACTCTTGAGGAGCCCCAGGAGCAGGCTGGTGAGCAGGAAGTGGCCCAGGTGGTTCACCCCGAACTGCATCTCAAACCCGTCCTCGGTCTTGGCGTAAGGGCACTGGAAGACACCGGCATTGTTGATCAAGACGTCCAGTCTAGGCTCTTCCTTCACATATAAAAAGAGAATGGCAGAATTATGAACATAGCCTTCCAGCTGCTCCTCCTGTTCACGATAAATATGTTTTAATAAAAAAAGAACTTGAGACTAAAAACACATCCGTTTCCGGGCTATGGATCAGAGAGCTAGTTGAATACCGACAATTTTGTTTTTCATGGCCGGAGGGTTTCCTCTGGAGGAATTTCCTCAATTCAATACTGATATTCATAATCTCACCCCACAACTTCTTTTTCTCATTTAAATAATATGAAAATTATTCATAGTAATCTGTCAGTAAGAGAAAATCTGTAGAAACTAAATCTAAGACTGAATTTCTGGTCTTATGTTTTTATAACAATAATACATACACACACACACACACACACACACTTTGGTTTCATTAGAAAGTTGATTATCTGATCCATACCAATGTCTTTCTTAAAAACAGAAATATATTTGGAGATTAGATACTCCTGTGATTCCAGATTTCTTCCCTTAATTTCAGTTTAACTAAGAAAATATCAATTTGGGAGTTAGCATGTTAATGCTGAGTTCATATCAAAATCACAGTAAGTGTACCTATGATAAAATTTTTAAAAATTCTTGGAAAATATTAAAAATTCCATAAATTTTTTCTATGAATGTCTAACCACTGAAAGAGAAATGGAAATAAAATTATTTTCATCCTTAGTGGGGCCTTGCTTTCAGCGTTTCATATGAAACCTCATCTTCTTTTTATAACCCTATAAGCAAACTGATGCACAGATGCTGGATGACTTATCTAGTGTCACAGAGTTCACAAGCAACAAAACAAAGAATCACACCTGAAGATAAAATCTTTTGATGGTAAAGTCCCTTCTCTTAATTATTTAAGTAGTTTGGCTTTCTAATTGAGATTTTTGAAGCATAGCTACAGTTAGTAAACTAGAGATAGTCAGCAGTTTATCCCCAGACCTACTGGACATTAGGAGCCAAGTTCAGATGTGTTACACTGTATTTCTCTAAGTGTAAATGGCACCATGGGAACAGAATGACCTCAAGGCATTTCCTTAAAACTAGGACAAGCAACAGAGGTCAGGGATGGAAACTTAACACCTGACAGATGTCATGAATAAATCAAAGAGTAAGAACAAAAATTAAGCAGGTAATATAAAAATATATAACACAGTGACTCATAAGTACAAGTCTCACAACAGTGAAGGAGACAAAAGGGTGGGGGCCATAGGATCAACAAACACCTTTAACCTCCAACACAACTGTGGAATTCAGTTCTTTTTTTCCTTATATAAGTACTTTTTTTAAGCATCAAGAAGCCCCTAATTTAGGAGATCTGAATAGTCAGAATTCTGTACCTTGACCATATTTTCTAGAAACTGCATTTTTACAAAGACCTAAAATTTAGACTGTTCTCATAAGAAGTCTTTTCATTTCCTAAACCATTTAAGATGGTCTTTTCTTGCCTTTCTTGAGTTCTTTCTTTTGCTGGACAGAGAAAAAAGAAATGTACAACATGTTCCAGGTGTAAAGACAAAGGGATGACCCATGCTAAAATTAATTCTAGGTCAAATTTCATGTTTCATTGGCTTTTTTACCAAGTTTAAGTGAAAAGAAAAACGTGTTAAATTTCACAAGTGTTATCAAAGCCTACTTGTCAGAGGATTAACTATTTCTCATTCTAACCTAAGAATCTTTTCATTTTCCAATAGTCAACTTCAAAAACAAGGCAAGAGTTCACCCATGGGGGAAAGAAAGGAATGTTCTTTTTCCCTAATCCTTTGGAAAGATTTCCTGAATTAATCATTTCCGAGCCATCCTTCTTTGCTGAGATAGTGTTATTTTAGGACTTCATCATTTACTATTTTTTTTTTAATTCTAGGAGATAAATGAGATAAATACCAAGAATACCAACCAACCTGTGGGAAGCCTACAATTCCACGTTTCCCCCACACACACACTTTTAATTATATTCACCAGACTTCCTTCAGAAGCAGGCAGAAAGGTAAATGCTTAGAAGAAAGGATGACAACTTTGTCATCTCCTTATCCTTACCTTTAAACTGGTTCTGCCTCAAGATGTCAAAATAACAGAGGTATTAGAAATGAACGAGTGTGTGTGTGTGTGTGTGTGTGTATCAATCACCAATCCCATTTACATTTATAATGCTTTCAAAATTTCTTAGATGGTGATTACTTCTTATCTAGAATATTATGATGAAATACTAGCAATAATACAACAAACAAAAAACCTAACTCCTGGGAGAGACAGTTCCCACACTGCAACAAGATGATCTTAGAGCATGGGGGGTACAAACCCATAGGATGTGCTGTAGAATATTTTAAATTTTGAAAGAAGCAATGCTACTCTGCTCAATACCTAAAGGCTAGTTACTACAGGTAGTTTAAGGTTTCAACATTATATTGTATTCTACTCCTTTGAGGAGATCGTTTCTTGTTCTAAAAACTCAGCTCCACAAGAAAGGATCTCCTCAATTTATTAGAGAAGCTTAAATTGCAAGTGCAAGGCTAAAAATTTATGTAGAACAGGAAACAAGGGTAGCTGTATCCAATCTGATCCCAAAGTTGGAGAAATTGGTGTAGTGATCAACAGGCACACACTTTCCATTAAAGATTGTGGCTAAAAATGAAATATTTTTCTTTGAATTGTGTAGATTACATTTTAAACAGTTACTGAACTGCTAGGACATAAATATTT